GAACCAAATGTCCGAACCTGCGGTTCCTCTCGTACTGAGCAGGATTACTATCGCAATGACTAATCATCAGTAGGGTAAAACTAACCTGTCTCACGACGGTCTAATATATGAGGCATTCCATGCCAAGTGGGCCATCCATTTTACGAAATTTCAAGCAATGTGAACGAAATCTATGAAATTAATTCTATTCAATTAATAAACTTCTTTGTTCATTTATAATGTTTGCGCTTCTCTTTTTCTTGTTATCCATCTAAAATATAGAATATATATATATAATAATGTAATAAACATTTATAAAATAATTAATATACAACATAAATAAAAGTACATATATCTTCGTTTTAAAAAATCATACATATATGTATATACATACATATATTTACCTTTTTAAAAAATATTTCTTTTTAAGTTTAGAAAAATATATTGTTTAAAATAACAAATAACTTAAGACTTTCTAACCTAAATCTTTACAAGTACATAATTAAAACAAGAAATATTGTCAGGATAAGAAATTTATATATATTTTTAAAGTTTATGGAAACATACATTTTTTTAGTTATATTAGCTAGACAGAAGAAAACTAATTAAATGTGATTCAATTAATTACCTTTTCAACGTAATAACTTTTACCGGTACGAATTACCATTCGTTCCGCTCAATTCTGTTGTCGGTTGTTTTTGAATCTAATGTTTGTAGAAAGCTAATATATTTTACAACGTTGCCAAACGTATTTCCGCACATTAGAAAACGTATACGTTTCCCATTGCGAGTGCTACAAAACAGTACTCAAGAATATAACATCAATAGCGTATACGCTTTTTCGTCAATCGCAACGTGCGTTTACGTAAAGTTGCGTACAGATTCAAGAATAGCGCCCCAGGACAGCCAACGCGTCGGCCTGCAGACAAGCCAACCTAACTCTAACCCGATTCTGACCCGATTCCAACCCTCGATGGAAACTTATGCCCGTATTCATAATCAGGCCTTATATTTAAGGCTTCCTTAAATTTATCTTCAGATGCTCTACGAATTATTTCATTGGCTACTGAGCATTTAAAGATAAATTTAAAGAAGCCTTAAGAACAAGGTCTGACTATGAATACGGGCCAGTCCATGATCTATGTACTGCAGCAGTATCAGTAATTTTATATAACAAATTATTATACGTATACATTTTCTCGTATACGTTCGACATTTTCATAAAAATGTCTAAATTCCGCCAAGTCTGCAACACGTTGTGCTTACTGAGCGTACTTGAAATTCGCTCAGAAAAATGGCGTCCGTTCACTGAACGCGTTGCGAATACGCTCACTGATCAAGCGCGTTCAGTGGCCTAGTTTACATCGTGAAATTATTGATATGCGTATTAAGGGTCTGAGCACAAGAATTGTCGGAACGATCATAACGCTTACTTAGAGACTTAAGTTGTAAACGTAAAGGGCCTTCTACATTAAGCCGTAGGT